GTCTCAACCTTCCTAATGCCGCGACCCTTTAATACAGTTCCTCATGTTGTGGTGACCCCCAACCATAAAATTATTTTTGTTGCCACTTCATAACTGTAATTTTGCCTCTGTTATGAGTCCTAATGTAAATATCTGATATGCAGGATGTATTTTCATTGTTACAAATTGAACATAATTAAAGCATAGTGATTAATCACAAAAACAATATGTAATTATATATGTGATTTCCGATGGTCTTAGGCGACCCCTGTGAAAGGGTCGTTCGACCCCTAAAGGGGTCACTACCCACAGGGTGAGAACCACTGCTCTAGACCTTCGTTACTTCTTCCTGTGAATGTCTCAATGGCACATTAAGTTCAACTTGCCAACAACCGAACTCCCAATTTTCCCATTTAACTGTGTCATCTCCCAGTGTTCACTCCTCAGGGTAACATCTTATCTCTGTCAAGTCCCACAAGCTAAAGGTCTAACCTCTTCCCCTTAATATATATAAATTTAAATTTCTTTCAGATCAACTCATTTGCTTTTAGTTTTGTTTGTACCATATTAGTCAAAGTTACTATTTATAATTCTGTAGACTAATGCTGAATAATTTCCAATCTGGTGTTGCCATATGTTTAATCCCTTTAATCTTCTTTCCACTGTAACTAGTGTTATTTTCAAATTGCAAATCCGATGGGCGCCTCAAGCCCTCAGCCTTCACTCTCCAACATTAAAACCCGTCAGTGGTTTTCCGTTACTCAGCTTGCTCTTCCAGAGGCAAATTATGCTGCATCTCATCCTCAGGACTCCAGCATTTTTTCTTTTACTTGAATATGCTAGCAAATATTTGTGGAATGGCTTAACAAACACATGAGAGTTCAGTGATGCTCTTGTAAATCGTATAAGAACTTGTACGCAACACTGATTCTGAGCAGGCCGGCGTTCCATGGCTTGGAGGTTCCAGAGGCCGGGGTTGAGTGGGAAGCAACTGAGTTCTGTGCTTCTGACTTAGCCCACACACAGTGCCCTGCACCTCTCTCCAGCTTCCTCACCTCCTTGGATCCAAGCGCTCACATCAAAATGAGGAACCGCAGGCCCTGAGCTCAGGAGTGGTCGTAGCCTGAGGCCCACAGGAAGCTGTCAGACTTGGAGATGAGTCTCATGGCCAGCCCCTCCCTAGGAAGCACACAGAGATTTCTGTCTTTTTACAAACATAGGCACCAGCCCAGGGGGGCAGTATCATGGTTTTGAGTATAAATGCTGCCCAGAGGTGACCCTTGAATGCCATGGCAGACCTGAAGAATGCTGTCCCCTCCACAGGGAGCAGGGCCAGTGTTCTAAGCTAAGGTTGCTTTCCAGCTGTGAGTTGGATTTTTCAACAGTGGGAGAGTCGGCTTCAGTGTCCATGGACTCGATCTAACAGGCTCTGTTTAGCAGGGTGCTCAAAGTGCTTTCCCACTAAGCCCCACGGGCTGGGAAACAGGCTTGTTTTTATCTCACTCACAGGCCTGAGAGCATCTCAAAAGGAAAGCCAAATACTTTTTCTTAAAGGAGACTTGAGAGAGGAGGAGAATGTATATCACCAAAGGCCCCTGACTCCCCAGTCATGCACTTGCTCCCCGCAGAGGGCATCGGAATGCTGATGTATGGGCTCCCACCACTATCTGAACTTAGGAAAACAGAACTCGGGGTCACTGGCAAGTGTGGGGGCTCCACTACCTCTAGAATACCTCCCTCATCCCAACAGGCATTATGGTTTTAACATCCCAGATAATTTAACACATTTAGGAAATTATAGAGGCAAAACTGACAATAATCCCACACTTTTGATTGAGCACCTACTGAGTCTAAAAACGTGATAGGCAATGGAAATACATCAATAAAACTAGTGAGGGAGCTAAATTTATACATCAGGTTTTGCCTCACTAAGTTTTTTATTAGAATTTAAAGAAGTGACAAATCCTACCTTCCTCCTTCCTTCCATCATTCCTTTCTTTCTTCTTTAGTTCTTTCTTTTGTTTTGTTTTTCATTTCAGATTTCTTTGCCTGCTTGCCTTTCATTTCCATTTGTAAACCACTTTAAGAAAAAGACTAACTCAGAGAATGGCTAAGACACTCAGGTTATCTGTAATCCCAGAGCTGTTTCTGACA